CGTATGATGCGTCGGTGCAAACGGTTACGCGATTGGAGGACGGTCGTTCAACCAATCATATGGCTCAATACCTTCTTTAAAGCATACTCAAAATCAATCAATAAACATAAGCATTCGCTGCTATCAGTTCCTCGTATATTTCATTGATGTCCGCAGTTCGGATTGGAGCCAACCCAGTTCTGAGCAGTACACTACGGGTTCTCGTATTTCTACATTCAGTAATATCCCGATTATCACAATATCATACCTCCATATCTGCACACTGTTGCTTGAGGATCGCCCCATGATATGTGATCACTAAGCCACAAATCACATGTATCTTGTGATAGATCCTAATTGCAATAATCAACCTGTCTTAGTTGCAAGTATGTGATTCAGAAAACCTATATTGAGGTCATCAGGTTCTGTGTGCACCAAAGATTGGGAGCGAGTAGGGGTAATAGATGAAAATGTTTCACTGTGTAAACAGGAGTTAATTTTAGACAAGCGTTCGATAAACTGATGACAACTTTTACAAGCGATAAAAATATTTGTGATGACCCGCGGCTTTTTCGTCCTGTTTAGCACTCGTCAGTAGTGCGTAATTTCTGTGTTCCTGTCAGAGCTCGAACCGGGAAGGGGTAAATATTTGAAGTCCCTACCCGAAATGTTCGCGGTTCGAGCCCTGACAGGGAGGCAAAAGGTACGCAATGAAAACTAGTTCTAAACAGGATGAAAGAGCTGTCCAGCGTTCTTTGTCGGTCATCACAAATATTTGCATCGCTTATGCATGCATTCAACTAACGGAGAATAATTCACCATCTCCCAAGGAGTGAAACCCAAACCCAAGATCATCAGTAGTGCCTGGTATCTGTGAACAAACGAATGGACTAATCTAAACACGGTCACAACGTTCTTGGAAATGGATGCAGTCCGCACCCGCTTTCAACTTGACATGTGCAGGTCAACTCAGGCATAACGACCAAATTGCCTTCTCTTGGCACGGTGGCGGTCACCCACTGGGTCAAGTGGCTCACCCCCATAGACTAACTTGATCAGAGATGTGACGTATGCGACCAAACAGCGTACGATTTTTAGCAAGGCAGGTAGAGGATGGGAAAAATAATCGGTGATCGTTTTCCGTTTAAACAACCATTAGGCATGCATTTCCGTGCGACGCTTTTGGTTGCTGTCTTTTGGCTGCCCATTTGGGCGCTCAATAGGAGGAAAACAGAAGGGTTGAAAGTAGGATCGAAGAGAAAATTGATAAGTTCAATGGACTGAAAAGGAGAGAAATTGGGATGCACGAACGCCACTGTTTACGACACTCAGGCATATCACTCAGTGTCTCTAACCATCGGTTACGATCATCCCAAGGTCCCCAGCCAGGGAGCCTAACGGGACCCATGTGACCCAGACTCCTGGTTAGGGTTTTCATAACCTCTAGGATCTGGAATGAGGGTACGAAAGGCCTTACCAGGATACCAGGAGCTCCCTGGATGGGGATAACGAGATCGTGGTAATCGGTGATTAAATATACTGAGCAACATGGCTGAATGTCATAAACAGTAGTGCCGAGGTATATGCTCATTAATCTCGTAATCTTAGTCTATATTTTATTCTTTTTTAACTCTGCTCGCAACATTCCAACTTTACTTATGTTCTTTTATCCAAATAGGTAGGCTAAAGATAGCAACTAAAACTGAGGCGTAAAGGTGAATGGTTGTAATAACTGAACTGGATCGAACCGAAATCCCGACGCAAAAATTTTAGCCATACTTGCTTTAAGCTGTCAGATTATAATGTATCGGAATATACAGAGATCGATGAGCGTTGATAATCTTCTTTTTTTAAAAATACTGATGAATTGTGAGTCAGGGCTAAAGGATGGTGGGTCACGACTGAAGAATTGTGGGTTTTGACCCATGGTTGATGGAGAAAAGTGTAATAGTAAAGTGGAATTAGGGTGTCATGTATTTCACTCGCTATTCTTCACCAGACTTATATTCTGTCTTCTGTTCGATGACTGCTCAATCTTGTTCCGATCGACAGCACATAAAAACCGAACACTGATCGATCACGAGATCGTCGGGTAAAAATGTTGTCTTATAGCCAAAAAGGTTTATTCTTCGAGTACTATTGATTTTATTAGTAGTAATATTGAATTTATTATATATTTAAAATTACCCTTTTTCGCTAAGCTCCATTTTCTAATCGCTGATGTACCCAGGGTTAGATTTTTTTCATTTTTGCTCGAATTCTCAAGATCTGCATGCCCAGGTTAACCCTCTACATTTGACTAGCTTCTTAGATTTAATAAGCTTTCGGTTCTTATTCTCTTAGCTAAGAGAAACCTACCGATGCGATTGGGAATGTCGTATTGTGCAATTTTTTCGAGATCGAGATCTGTCGTGACTATTTAGGTACCTGCTCACAGTGCTCGGATTTATCTGGTCTCGAGCGTGTTCTCCCGCGTTGTGATATTGTTCACGCAATCTCTTGACGTCCAGTTCGTGCTCATGGTCTCTTTGCCGTGCCGTGCCGTACATTCAGTTGTGTCTTGTGCTAATTTATAACGGACACCTTGAGAACAGCCCCCAACCGGTTTCTTCATGTATGTTATGTTATGTCCGTTTAGTGTCAATGTTACTGTGCTACACAATAAGGATAAGCCGCATGTTGCACCTAAATAGCATCAAACCTATTATCTTTGCTCAAAACCATGTTGTCCCTCATCTCAGAAACTTTCCTTTAGAAAGATCAGGTTCAGAGAGTAGCTGAACTCCATTCGCCTTTTCTGTGGTGACCAAAATGCACAGAGTGCGCGCAAATGCAAAAATGACAGAGATCGATGAATGGCCGTATGGAGTGATGGATGGATAGAGAAATATCACCCCCCCCCCACACACACACACCAACAACACTTGTCACGGATGAAGTTCAGTGTGGTAAGCGAGGCAAACGATACCATTCCTAGTTATTTACTATTATCCGCTGGATTTCACAAACGGATAACACTGTGCACACACTATATGACCGAGTAACGAACAAACAACATATTTAATTCTATTATGAATGGAATTTTTCCATTTACGGAACAAAGAAAACGTAAACTGAAAAGCTCGAAAGCACTATACTACTGTTTCGACCTTGCTCGTGAGGAAAACCACAGATCCAAGTGGTGATCGAACCAACACCCCAACCCTCCGACAGTCTAATATTCCATGTTCCAACATGTAACTTGCTAGGGAGGAGCGCACAGAGTCCATCCGCGTCACACTACAAGTGTGCTCGCGATACCCAAGGCAAATCGATTCCAGATCGGATGACCAAAGCGAATCAGACAGCTTTCGTCCGATAGATCGATGGAGTGTCAAGGACGCGATCTGTTTGGTGCGTCACCACCTCGATCTCGTACGCCCAATTTACTATCTATATTTGCGTAACACATCATGATCAATAATACACTCTGACTGTTGTTTTTCCAGTCGTGTTCTCTCTTCCGTATCATTGTTGAGAACTAGTCACAAGGCGCTCGTATCGATCGTACGTCTGGGCTGAACATAACATAACTGTTTCTTATCCCCGAAGAGGTCTGCTTTATCTTAATTTGATTGAAAACTCTCGTGTATTGAATTTTTGTCGTCGCAAGCAAGTGGCAGTATCCATGAGGATAGAGGGGATCTCCCTCCATCACTTCCTTATTCACAAGATCATCGCAAACTGATCGTGAGATATGAAAAAGATAAGGCACAAACTGACTCTGATAACTATCGTACCATATCTTTCTAATTTCCAAAATAAGTGGAGCTTAGTATTCACAGCATTAAAAACTGAACTGTACAAAACGAAATGATCTTCATGAGCTTGAAATGCATTCAGAAAATAGTAGAACAGGCGTTTCTCGCAAATAAAGCGAGAGCAGATAACCCATAATCATATCTACAGTGCATATGAATGTTGAAAATGAGTGAGGAGTGGCAAGCAGAGGGCCATGTGAAGCACACCGAACTGGTCCTGCAACAATGAGGTAGGAACTCAAACTACAATAAAGTGTGGATTGATAACTTAGGACAAAAAGGCGATCGATTCTTGGATCGGAACAGGAGAACAAGGACTGGTGGACTGGGCACAGTTCACATTTCGATCACTTTTATCGAAATTTACCACAAAACCCGATGTCAGCGATAGAAAAGGCTCATTCTTTTCTGACTAAAGCGAATTTTACGAGCAGCAATAGTCTTCTCGAAATCCGCCCATCCTGTTGTCGTTTTATTTGGTGTCCGGCTCAAACACTGGTCAGCGTTTTCATCCCTTCATGTCTTCCTGAACTCACAAAGCAACTCACTGGTAACAGAATGAAGTGTGATAACGATATTAGTGACCTGTCCGTATAGATTATGAGGTCCATTGATAGGATCCCACCACAATTGTTTCACTTTCGCAGGTTTTGGAATGGCCGCTTTCCCATGTTTCAAACTGATTGTATAACTGTCTTCTATTTAGCTGTTTATTATTATTATGAGAGGGAGCCCGGGAAACCTGATCGACGATCAGTCAATTAAAGGAGGAGGATCATCGTACCCTCTGGCCATCAGAGATCCGACCAGTCCACATCTACATGTAACCAGGTTGGATTTGACCGATGAGATGACTGACAAGTTTATGGTCGCTTGTGAGCTATCCGGACGACTAAACAATGCCAAAGATCTGCCCCGCATGATGGACTAAGTAGTCAGGCAGGACCAGCTGGCGTGTGATCAGCACATCCACCACTAACAATCTGTAACATACCGACCCACCGTGCACGGTGATCGAGCTCTTTGAAGGCTAGGAGAAAATATCACCGAATGAAAGTGATTCAAGTTCGTTTCGTGGATCAGAAAACCACTCTAAAGCCTGGTCTACAGGAAGAACTAGCTCATATTAAGAGTGGTAGAATTGGACATCTATAAGTGGAACTAACGCTTTTGCACCAAAGGGCCTTCTGAACAACCGAGAAAAGAATATTAATTTGATAGAAATTTGTGGTATAGGTGCGTTCACCTTCTTTTCAAATAAACAATACTGCCGTCTGATATTATATTTTTAGTGTTCAGGTGGAGGCGTGGGGAAGGGAAAGATACTGCAACGCCTGACTGAGTCAGCTTTGGTAGGGTGAGTAAAACGTTTAAGTAGCCTTAAATGCTTCTTGCAAGTAGCTTCATCGCCGAGCAACCGCTACAAGAATAAGATCTCCACGAGCCCCATGCAATTCATTTTTCCGATTGTCCGAAAAATGATAACATAACTCCTTTCGCCCGAAGGAATAACATTTTATGTAAAACTGACATGTAAATAGCAATTTTAGGCGGGCACATGGATGAAATTTATTAAGATAAACAAGTTTATTGAAATTTCCCCCGTTGCACCTCGAATGACTTTTAGGGTAGAATGCACACTCATCCATCGTTCAAGCCTCCTCGTCAGCCTCTTCGCCGAAATCATTCTCATCATCCAACGTGGCATCTTGGTATTGTTGATACTCACTTACCAAATCATTCATGTTTGACTCAGCTTCCGTGAACTCCATCTCGTCCATACCCTCACCAGTGTACCAATGCAAAAATGCCTTACGCCGGAACATAGCGGTGAACTGCTCCGAAATGCGTCGGAACAGCTCCTGGATGGCAGTATTGTTACCCAAGAAAGTCACTGACATCTTCAAACCGCGTGGTGGAATATCACAAACAGCTGTCTTCACATTGTTCGGGATCCATTCGACGAAGTAGCTGGAGTTCTTGTTCTGCACATTCAACATCTGCTCGTCCACCTCCTTCATCGACATTCGTCCACGGAACATAGCAGCCACCGTCAGATATCGGCCATGACGAGGATCACAGGCAACCATCATGTTCTTCGAATCGAACATCTGCTGAGTGAGTTCGGGTACGCTGACAGCCCGATACTGCGTGCTTCCTCTACTTGTGAGAGGTGCGAAACCAGGCATGAAGAAGTGCAACCGAGGGAATGGCACCATGTTCACCGCCAGCTTGCGTAAATCCGCATTCAGCTGACCGGGAAATCGTAAGCAGGTAGTCACTCCAGACATGGTGGCGCTAACCAGATGGTTCAAGTCTCCATAGGTTGGATTGGTCAGTTTCAAAGTGCGGAAACATATGTCATACAGTGCCTCGTTATCAATACAGAACGTTTCATCCGTATTCTCCACCAGCTGGTGCACTGACAGAGTGGCATTGTAGGGTTCCACAACAGTGTCGGAAACCTATAAAGGGAATGCAAAAACGTGGATAAAAGAGTGAGGCAGTTGTGGAGCATTACGGTTGTACCGTCAGAAGCGGTATCTACTTTGAAGGGAACTGATGCGTTATCAGTATGGAAATTCATTTGAAACTTTTTGAGATACGATCAAAGATTCAAGTTTACCGTGATTTGTGGGTTACTAATTCAACAAAAGGTTTGCTGTGATCTGGCTTTTTATCCCCTTATGCAATTCTCCATTCCAATTTATAAGATACAGGTTATCAGTCTTCACTACAGAGCAGCAGATCCTCGTGACTATAAGTTTCACCCGCTCTATCGTTCATTAGGCCAGTGTGATAAAGAATGCATGACGAATTAAAGTGTACGATTTCGAGCTGTGGTTAAAGAAAGGACTTCTGTGAGACGTTTCACTATCCGCTGAAAAGTAGATACTCACGAATTGAGGACGGTTCACTAACGTGACAGCCGGGTGCTCCCACATATTAGCCCGCCTGGAGGACATCCACATAACGATGTGCAAATCATTTTAGCAACAGTAGAGAGAAGGTTCATACGCATCTTGTTTGAACGAAGCGAAGCGCGCCCCTTGAACGGCTGCGCTACAATTTCTCGCCGCCGTTGCATTCTGGAATTTATCTGCCCAAATTGCTAAATATGCGTGCTTTAACCATATACACAAAGGAATTCATGTTAAAAATT